GTTTATTGGGGGACCCCCCCCCCCCCCAAATTATTTACTTGACGAATACGTCCAGTAAATATGCTACTTGAAATAGTAATTTGGAATGTATTGGTCAGTGTTGTTTACTAAGATTATAAAATAAAAATAGCCTTGTTAATTTGGGATTTTTGCTTCTTTAAGTTTCTATTTAAAAGGAGGAGGTGCTATGCTATGCCTTTTTCAGTGACATAGTAAGTAGGCAACTTAGTAAATTTCTATAGGCTCACCTTTTGGCTAACTTTTCCAGGAAGTCTAAACCCAATTTTTTTATTAAGGAGTAATAGTTAAAAATATGTGCATACAATTATTTAATGTGACTAATCGTTTTTTTCCTTTTATCTTGCAGCAATGCACCTCTTGCTTTTTCCTCCAAAGTATGTTATATTAAGTTTCGTGAAGCATCGAGTGTTGGTGTGGCCCAGCATCTAACTAACACGGTTTTTATTGACAGAGCTTTGATAGTTGTGCCCTGCGCAGAAGGTTGGTATTTTAGACATTCTTCTGTAATGTTGGTCTTTGTCATGTCTGCTAATTGTTTTAAGCTTTCCATGTAAGGAGGTGGTGCTCTGTTGTTATTTTATTTTATTTTATTTTATTGCTTTTTAAAAAAAATATGTTTGAAACAAAATTGAAAATTGAATGAAGAAACCCAATTATATAGATTTAATTGAAATTCAGCAGCAAAGACAGTTGATTCAAATTATGATAATTCAGTTTTCCATAGTAACTACATATTTTGAGGGAAAACAAGGTAAAATAATTCCCTTCAGTATGGTTTCTGTTGGCAAGCTTATTCTCACACAGAGTTCTCACTGAAGTCAATGGAGCACTGAAAAGATTAGACAATTTCCTGGCACTAATAACACTGCAGTTTGGATCGTATTGTATCACCTTTGGTGTGGTGGGTTTGTTGGGTTTTGGAGGTTTGGTTATTGGTTTTTGTTTTTTTAAGATACTGATTATTTTTCCTTTTTTTTTTGACTGAATCCCAGTTTTGTCTTGTAGATGTGTGATATGTGCATTTGGCCATTTTTGATTAATCTAATCTAAAATACTTAGCATTCATGGTGATAATTACTATTTGAATATAAATGTTTACCTGCTAGTTTAATAAAAAAAATTTCAATTTTCCTCTCTTGTTACTATGGAAAGTATTACTTTGTGTGCCATAAAAAGACTTCCTTATGTATACTGGTACTTCTTTTTGGTTTTGGATACGTCTTTAAAAATGCAATGATCTGTACAGAATGCTTCCTGCTTAAAAGATTTTTAAAACTCTTAATAATATAAAATATTTGGTGAATACTAAATTTACAAGTGTTCCCTTAACTAGCTTTGAGGCCATGCTTTACAGAGGTGTTGATTACAAGGTAGTTTGTATTGTTAGTATAATATCCCAGATCTGAATACAGTTACATGAAGCAGGGCACTGCAGTAGGCATACCGCTGGAGTTAGGCAGAGCCCCATTGACTTCATTGGGATCATTGTGGAATTGAGCATCTGCCTATGTGGTTCTGGACTTTTTGCCTCTTTGGAGTGGAAACATTCCAGCTGTGGAGTGAACCTAACTTCACTTTGAACATGGTAGCTGTTTTGCCATGAACAACAATATTTAGAGCAAGTCCAGAAATACGTCCTATTAACATAACTTTTCTAACTGCAAGAGTCAGGTTTTGGTTCAAAAAATACTGTTGACTTCTTGGAGTTTGTTAGCAGTGATCCTAGAGTACCATTTTTTGGCATGTTTGCCACATCATGATCTGGATAGTATGAGATTAGTGGTGCTGTGGTAATGGTCTGGGAAGTTCCTAGCAAACTCTGACAAGTCTCCAATGTTTCTTAGACTGTGTAAGTACTTTCACTAAGGGCTATATTGGCCTACAACATGCTGCCTATTCTTGTAGTCTTCCTAATAGGGGCATATGGCACATATATTTGTCTTTTGTGAAGCCTAAGTTTTTAGATGCTTTTATGCCTTGTTTTGGGGGTTTTTGGTTTTATTTTTTGAACTTGTTCTTAAACCATGAAGAGGATATTGCTGTATCCACTTGAAGCTCTGCAAAGGCTAATGAGACCAGAGTCCCTATTGAAAAACTGCCCCTAAATAATTGACTACAAATTATTCAGGATGTTAGTTTTATGTTTCATTGAAAAGACCTTAACACTGGTTCAGTACTGACAGAGAGGGAAGATTGCCGCCTAATGAATGAAGAACACTTCCTGGTGTTTTTCTTGTGATGAGATCACTGCCTGACGTGATATGGCAACAGGCAGGTAAAGCTACATTTTCCTGTGTCTCTTGATGGTAGACAATGAATGGACGGAGAATAAAATCAAAGTTCTGACAAATCTTGTTCCAGCCCCATTTATAGCTGACTTATTAGGCATTTCTGAGAAAACGTATTACAGAGAAGCTGTCACTGTTCAAAATCATTCTGGACCACACGGAGATTTATGCATAATTAAGTGAACAAGTGATTAGGTTGTGAGGTCAAATTTTTTTATGTCAAAATGCTGTTTCCATGTAACTTTCTAACAGAATCACTAATTTTAATTTATAAAGATGTGAATTTATATAGGTTTAACTTTTTGAGGAATTTATTGTGTGGAATAAGTATGGGTTTGGAGACCACAGCACAAGATTTTTGATTGACCATGTATCATATGATGCATTGTTAATGGAGTCAGTGGAGTGTATCACAGGCTTTAAAAGTAGTGATGGCTATATTCTACTGGGAGGTAAAATTATATCCGTGGCCAACGGTGCCAGTAATAAAACGTTTCATGCGCCGAATTGAACATAGAGGAGAGGTAAAACGGAACTCTGAAAACTTGGTTTTAAAAAACAGAATAAAATCTGAAATTTGGAGTGTATTTAAACTGGTAAATCAAGGGAGTATGAGGAGGGAATCACTACACAATGAAAACAATGTTCATTCTGTGACATTTTAATAAACAATTTAACAAAAATGTAATTGTAAATGAAGTAACATTATTAAGCTGTCAAAATACCACCTTTTTATGTGTTGTATTGGTAGGTTTTTCTTTAAACGTTATACTTTGAGAACACAAAGGTTGAAAAATAAACAAAGATGCCACCCTAATCATTCTAAATTTTATGTCCACATTATCTAGTAGATGGATTTTGACTATTAATTTGGTTTTGTATGTTTTCTCTGTGTGATATTTGTGCATTATTAGATGACTAGACTGGCCAAGGCAGACCTGTTACACTTGCCTGAGTTAGGCATTGTTTGCCATGCCACTAAACCTGCCGCCAAGTGAAACCTTCATGGGGGAAATGAGATCGAAGTCTGGCCTGCTGAAGATGGACGCCCTGTCTCTGTTTTTATTTTATTTTGCTTTCTTTCCTTTGTTTCTTTTATTTTTATTTTTATTTTATTTTGTCCCTTTTTTGTTTTGTTCTGTTAAATCTCTTTCCCTTGTACTTGTGAACTGGTATTTCAGTTCTGTAAAAATGGTGTTTTGTAAAGGGTTCACAGTGTTTCATTTTGAAGTTGACCTGAAGCTGCTTATGAATGGTGGATGGTATACACAGAATTTAGAATGTGATTAATTTTTATGCTGTGAATTACAGATAAATTTGATTTGGAATATGTTTAAGCATCCAAATTCAACAGATGAGCACATTGTGTCAGAAGACAGGAATAGTGAAAAATATATCTGTTTTAAGATACATTCTTTCATATGTTATGCTTTGTGAGTTTATCTTGGAAAAGGGCAGTTGAAACTCTTCTGGAGAAATTAACTTTACAAAGTCAAGTCATGATCTTTCTCTGCTATTTTTCTCTTCTCAGCAGAGTAGTTTTATTTTAGGTTGCATGGTCTGTTTGAAAGAAGGCTTACTATTTATGTCTAATAGAAGAAGAGTTTAAAATATTTCTGAAATTGAACTTTCATGAATATTGAATGTCATGAAATACTTGTTTGCTTCCAATGAAACCTTGCTCCAGTGAGGTCAGTGGCAGTAAGATTTCACCCTTTTTTTTTTTATAATTTTCAGAAAAAAACTGTTTACCACTCATAAGTACAAATGCAGCCTGAAGTTTTGGTTGGAATGTGTTATGTGAGGCACATTGTCTTTTAACGCTGTTATTTGTGGGAAGATTGAATCAGTTCTCTGTGTGTGTGTGTATGTACGTGTATATTGCATTTGACATGCTCCAGTGGTAGTTATTTCAAGAAGAGGTGTTTTTTTTTTTTTTTTAAAAAAAAAAAAAAGGAAAAAAAACCCTATTGTCTTGGTCGTCTCACAATCTCAAAACCCTGGCAGTTCGTGATGGAGTGATGGAGAAGGTTCTCATCCCTAAATGATGTTCTTTCTTCTTGTGAAACGGAAGCCCTGAAACAGAAGTGGTGGACCAGGTGGTGTGTCTAGTCCTCAGGCATTGCTCTTACAGCCAGCTGCATTGGGATCAATTTGTTTCACTCTGGTAATGCACCAGGCTGTGCACTGAAGCTGGGAAGAGCTTTGCTTCGTGATCTGTTGGATTTAGCTGTGGCAGTTGAGGTAATTGCCAGGAGGTGTAATCTCTTTAATCACTGCTGCTAAATCCAGTAAGAATCATGAACTGGATCACACAGAAATTATTTTATTTGTAAGTGCACATTTTCCATGATTTAAAACAGAAGGAAAGTAACAATTCCTTTAATTATGTTTATAGAGTAGGTGCGAACTATAAGTATTTTTAAAACAAGCAAACTTATTTATTGCAGAAGCCATTTTGGGGGGAAGGATTAACGATGTAGTTTCAGTACAAAGAGCAGGAAATTAATGTCTTCTGAGCACTTGAAGGGGAGTGAAAATAGTGTGATCAGTACTTGCTTAGCGCAGATACTTTGGTTCAGCATTTAGCAAAATGGATTCTGGTATGGACTAGGTTGATTATAGCTCTTAAGCACTTCAGTGATACAAAAAGTAACAATCATAACTGATACTTAGGACAACTGTACATTTCCTAAGAAGCATAAGGTCTCTCTAGGCAATGCAGAGCTAATCCACATCTGCTTCCAGATTCCTTTGCAAAGTGAAGAATCAGTCAATAAATTATCATAGAATCTGTAATTTACGAAACACAAGAGCTTCTAAGAAGTCTTTCTAAGGAGGTAGTATAGATGTGGCATATTTATTTTGTTTCCCTCATTAGAAAATAAATATCTTTACCTCATTTCCATTCAACTTTTAAATACCATGATTTTAAAAAATGAAACAGTTAAGCTAAAGTGGCTTTTTGTTGTGTCATAACCCACATATTTTGTTGTATCTTTGTGGGCTTGTATTCCTTTTGTAATTAAATTCATGGAGATAAAACTCCAAAACTTAAAGCCTGTAACTTGTGAGGTTATTTGGCCTCACGTATTAATTTGTTTTTCAAAACCATCTAAAAAATAGGAAATAAATTTGCAAGATATTTCAGGTTTTCATTTTTTTCCTCACAATGGTTTGTTTTCTATAGAATTGTTAAAACATTTGACCTGGTCTTAAAAACTGGAGAAGGATCCTTTGATAAGACAGTATCTTTGAACATACAGGCAAATTTTCAGGGATCTGTGTGTAGAGATAGACCCTTTCTCATTCTTGAATAAGATGAATAAGTCTTTGTGGCGTGGAACTGACCAACTAGATTTTGTATTTAAAATAAAACATTACATTGTTGAAGGACTAAGTATTCTGGAAATAATGCTGCTAACTTTACAATTTAGATATGCATGTTATTTATTCTTTGAACTGCTGTAACGGTGCTGCTTAACCGAAAGTGTTCAGTGGATTCCTTGAGCAACATTTGAGCAAATGAATAATTCCAATTATTTCAGTAAGATGACCCATATACTTAAAAATTTAGGCTTGTATTTAAGTACCTTTCTGAACTTGACTCATTGTCTGTTTAGTTATGTGCCTAATTCAGTTCTGTTTAAAAGGGCTAAATGCCTAAGCATCTCTTGTCTGGTTAAGTGTATATTAAATTGAATGTATGTAAGCGCATACTTAAATTAGGCATATACTTATGTACATTACTGACCAAGGATCTAAATTAGAATGCAGACACACCACTTGAGGAGCCATTTCTGCCATTGGATTTACTTGAGCCATGTCTGTTGATCCTGTAGAAACCTGCATGAGTATCCAGTTAATTGCAAGGTACTAGCTGTTCAGGATAAGGTCTGGTTCATTAGTAATTTGAAAACACTTAAGTATTTCAGTTTTCAGAAGAACTGGTACATAATTCTATGCCTAATTTGCACACACAGCTGCTGGAACTGTATAATTAAAAGCCCGTTAGTTAGCTACATATTAGGCAGGATGTGCAGCAAAGTACCTGATACTCATGAGCAGACAGGCAAATTGGGTACACCTCAGGTACACATTGCATGCCTCACTTCAACGTGAGATCTGTAAAGAGTGCTGAACAGTGTGATGACGACTCAGATGCATGCCTGTTTTTTAAAAAGCCCTGGAAGTCATTATTGCACAGTTAATTCTTAAGTGCTAATAATTTTCCTATTTTTCTCCTTTAGATAGCAAAATCAAGTGGTTTGTTACATGTTAAGGAGCAAGGTGCCTCAAAATTTAACATAAATAAAATAAATGTAAATAGGAAGCATGAGGAAGAAAAGGGTACTGTTATTTTATCTTTTCTATTCAACCCATGCTACATATAAATTAAGTTTCATTTAGATTCATTTTGTCCTTTGGTCATGTCCAACTGTAACCTGTTTGCTGCAGATCTGTAGAACAGGTGTGCAACACTTTTCTTCCTTTTATTTTTTTAAAGTAGTATGTTTCCTGTGGGGTCTGTTGGAACTTGTATAGCTAAAACTGCACAGTGTTTTGAAACTTACCTCATATTTTGCTTTTTGATAAGAATATTTATATATACATTTTTAAATCCTGATCTTAGGAGCTTTATAGTTAAAACATACACAGTTTGAACCAAAGCAGTAAAAGCCACTGGCACAGTATTTGTGTATACCTTGACTTTTAAAACTGTGTTTCAATAAAAGCATTTACTTTATTAAGTGCATGGGGTAATACCAAAGGGCTCAGCTGGATAGCATATATACAATTATGCCAGCAGTTTTGAATAGATCATAGATACCTAGTATAATTAAAACTTCTTTCAGTAGTTTTTCAGTTTAGCGTTTAATGTTTATACCAGTTTAAATTCCTTTACATTTCAAATTTAATACTTATGTTTAATTGTAATCATAATTTTTTAACTACTAAATCTTCTGATTTTTGAAGATTTTGGGGGGTTCATTTAGCAGTCTAATTGTGACTAACATTGAATGAAACCTGTGTTTAATTCAGATTAGATATTACTTAAACCTTTAGCTTTACACGGGGAATATCATCTGATTGAAATAGTAGGAAATAGGTATTTGGGGAAAATATAGGTTGCTTAACTGATGAGTTATGATTTTCTTCAATCTCAGGAAATTTAAAGCTAATTTGTCAAAGTTTCAGATAAACTGAAGTGACCTAGAATGTGAGACAGTACAAATCTAAATTTTTTCTTCCCTCCCCTCTTCCACCTCCAACTTCACTTGTAGTATGTATTGTGTGGAGTCACAGTAGTTTAGTAGTTTTTATTTTATTTTTATTTATTTTTACATCCAAAGTAGGTAGCACCAGAGGAATTTAAAAAAAAGCACAAATTTCAGCTAACACATACTTTGGGTGTTTTTTTTTTTCCTTTTTTTTCTTTTACTGATTTGGTTATTTGCCATTTCTGGGGATTAAACTTTAAAAAATGTTCTTCTTTTCTGTATCTGATGTTCTGTGTGCTATTAGTGATGCAGCCAACACGAACGGTTGTCATGTGTAAAACAACTTTCGATCACCGCGAAAACACCGCCCTGGGAAAGCGTCCATGCTTGATATCGTTTGGTTCATGAACATTAAGTTTCCAGTACAGGTGACCCATAGCTCAAAGTGTTAAATAATTGTATACATTATTCAGTTTTTAAAATAATAATCCATTAATGAGATTGCTAGTCTTTGAAGTTTTGCTCACTTTTGTTTTTCCTAGTAGAGCAGGGTAAAAGGAAAAACTTAAGTTCTTATTTGTTTCTTTGTAAGGATCTGGTAGATAGATTCATTGTTATTTATTACATTTTTAAATGCAAGGGTAATTGTAAGATCATAGAAAGAGTAACATCTGTGTAGTGTTCCAACTCTGTGTAATGCTTTCATTTGCTTCTTCAGGTAAAATCCCAGATGAAGCCAAAGCCCTTTCTCTGTTGGCGCCTGCTCCTACTATGACAAGCCTGATGCCTGGTGCAGGGTTGCTTCCTATACCTACACCAACCCCTTTGACTACAGTAAGAAAAATTCAGTTGCTGTTTGATTTCTGGTTTTCTTTATACTCAGTAGCCTTTTCTGTGTTCAGAGAACAAGAACTATCTGATCTATGGATGTTGTCCTCTTGTATGCTAGATCAGTGAGGGTTTAGCTGTGGTGCCTCTTTTGAGGGTAGATCATAAGATGTCCATGAAGTACTTTTCCTGGGTTTTTCTTTCAGATTACTATTTTGCAGAACAGTGGGTAAATACTGATTTTGGTTGTGTCCATTTTAATTGTTGTCCTTCCCTAGACCCATTAATTTGGTCCAGTGGCAGTGCTATCCACTTCCTAAAAATTTGTTAAAACATAAGAGTTACATTGACACAGTTCTTTGGACTATTAAGATGCTGCATTGGGTGCTTTTATTTGGTATCTCTACAACAGGGCTTTTGACTGTTTGCGTAGCAATGTTTTTACTACAAAAAGCATCAGAGCTAGCTGCTGCTACTTCTGCTCAGTTCCCTTTTGCCTCTGTAAGCCTTTCTTGACATCAGCAGGGTGCTGTGACCTATTCAGGGAAAATTTCAAGTTAAAATAGAGTAGTTTTCTCCTTTTTTACGTAAAAAAAAAAATTACAGGTAGCTTATTGAGAATTTCTCACACCTGTTAGAAAATTTGTTTGCTGGAAAGGCAGTTGCTTTTTGGGTGGAGAAAAAAAAATTCAAACCAGGAACTCAGCAGACCAATTTAATAGTGATTTTCAAGTGACATTTTTTATAACATTCCCCAGGAGAGATTTCAATTCGCAGTTCCAAAAATGAGAGCTGTATTGTCCTAATTCTCTAGGAAGTGACTGTGTTTGTAGGGAAGGAACTTTGACTTAATATCCTTCGCATTTCAACTGTAATTAATCTTGCCTTACATGTTGTGTTTGTCCAAAAGGTACCTTATCTGTCCCTTTGGTGGACTGATACCTATTACAGAACAAATTGGTCCTGGGCACTGCAAATTCCCTTCTTCCCTTGCTGGGCAAGGGCTCAGCAGTTCCTCCTCTACTCCTAATACTTGCTGTGGCAAAAAAATGATAATATTAGTAGTGTCTGAAGGCATCTTACTCAATTTGATTGACTGTAAGAATTAGAAGTTCAAGCCTATATGTTTTCTGATTGATACACTGCATCCCTGGCCTGACCTCTTTGATAAGATCTTAAATGATAGCCCACAGAAAATCCTCACTATAGAAGGTTATTTATGGGTAGATTTTTGTTCTTTAAAAAAAGTGCTCTGCTGGGACCTTAAAATATTGTATATTCATTAGATTTTTTTTTACAGAAATGTACAAGGCAGGCAAATATTAACAAGTGAAGTATCTCCCACCAGTGCTTGGTTGCAAAGTGTATTCTGGTTTTGTGTTTTCTAGCTCGGTGTTTCACTTGGCACTTTGGGGGCTATACCAGCAGCAGCATTGGACCCTAACATTACAGCACTGGGAGAAATACCACAACCACCAATTATGGGGAATGTGGATCCATCCAAAATTGATGAAATCAGGAGAACAGTCTATGTTGGAAACTTGAATTCCCAGGTAGCTTTTTTTTGTGTAATGGAAATACTAAAAGAAGGTTTAGAATTGTAATTCGTGAATTCTAATGTTAAAGAGTTTTCATCAGTTGATGACAATAGGAATTGAACAAAAAATAATATCCTTTTTGGTAACTAGTGATATTTTGAATTTTGAATGCTTCTGTGCCAGTCAGATCAGACCAAACTGTGGAATTCATTCTGGCAGGATACCAGAGACATCACACTGTAGCTGAATTCAAGAAACATGCTTATGATTGTGTGTGCTGATGAAATGTCCAGCTGGGTTGTGTTAGCTTAGCAATGCCTCAGAAGTCGGGAGATCATGGTAGCTGTTCCCCACAACACTGTGCAGTTGCTTAAGTACAGTAAGATGGAATGATGTGTCCTAGTGGGGGTTGCAAAATTAGCATAAATACCTTTGAGTTTCTGTAACTGGAAAGTTAGGTCTGTCAGAAACTTGGTTTTTCAGCAGTTGATTGAATTAATTGAAAAACTATTTGCTTTTGACTGATGGCAATATAAATATTTTATTTTGGAGTTTTTTTGACTGCCAAAGTAGCTACTAGAATGTAAAAGTACTATTGATTGCGATAAAATAAAACAAACTGGAAGCTAGTAGAAAAACAGATAAAAGCTAAGTCTTGTAATATTGTTTGGATTTTTTTTTTTTTAATTGATCAATATTCATGGTCAGTAGCTTGTACACAGGTGTGTAAGGAAATTCCTCATCAGTTATTTCAAACGAGTTGCCTGAAAATTGCAAAATGGTGCAAATGCTTTTTTAACCTAGATGTAGGAGTTCAGGGCTTGTGGTTGCATTATTCTAAATTGTAGTATATTCTTTAGATTAAAGGAAGAAAAAATACCTGTCTTTCTTAAAGTGTAACATGGCAAAATTCATGTTGTCTATGTAATAATGGTGAAATATCTTTCCAAAATCTGTAGCTCTTAGATTACCTGATATATTAGATAAGTTGTTTTCATTATGTATTTTACTTCAGCTGAGCTCTTCGACTCTTTCTAGACTACAACAGCAGATCAGCTGCTTGAATTCTTTAAGCAAGTTGGAGAAGTCAAATTTGTGCGAATGGCAGGTGATGAGACACAACCAACACGATTTGCTTTTGTGGAATTTGCAGACCAAAATTCTGTACCTCGAGCTCTTGCGTTTAATGGAGTTATGTTTGGAGACAGGCCACTGAAGTAAGAAATTAATTATCCATATGACTATTGAATGAGAGATTTCTTTCTATTCTTATACATTTGTGATCTGATGTGCAAGAAACTGCTGTGATGAATATTTTTTCAATATAAGGACCTATTGTTAGCAAACTGGAACATTTTTATAAACTCCAGTTTCAAGGTTGTGCATAACTTTCTCTGAGAAGAATATGGATGCCATTGAGTAAAATATATTTGTATTTAATCTTGAGAAAGTGGAAGCTATAATAGTGACAGAATGTGCAAAGTCCTTAGAACTAATTAAGTTTTCTATATAATATGTATGTAATTAGTTGGCCTTAACATAGAGATTTGATCTGGAATAGAGAAATAGATTCCTAGACTTCTACTAGCAAATATTTTAACACAGAAATATTGTGCCACGTTTATTTACAAGTGGTAAGATTTGAAAGCAATAAAAGACATTTCAGATATTTAGAACAGATGAGTGTTAGGATGAATCTGTAGTTTTGCTGAACTTTGAAGTTTTTAGTTGTTGTTTTTCATTTTCCCTTTTCAAGTGTTTGGGAGTTAAAAGTTTTATTTTTCCTTAATTTAGAATAAATCACTCCAATAATGCAATAGTGAAGCCTCCTGAAATGACACCGCAAGCAGCTGCCAAGGAACTGGAAGAAGTGATGAAGAGAGTAAGGGAAGCCCAGTCTTTCATATCTGCTGCTATTGAGCCAGGTAGGTACATGATGTTCATTACCTAACAGACATGTTCTGTGTGTACCTTGGCACACACTTCTCAGAGCATTATCAAACACAGGAAAAGGGTACTCAAAGTGAACAATATGTGTTGGAAAAAAAAGAAAATAACCAAAATTGTGTTCATGCAACAAAGCAGGGGAATGAAGCTGACTTTTTACTTCATCTTGTCTTATTTTCAGATACATTCTCACTGAGTGTTTTCAAAAATGCAAAGTTAATACTTAATATTGGTGCTTTTAAAGTTCAAGGTACTTAAAAACTTTTAAAAGAGGATGCTTTATATTTTGTTTTGTTCTCCTCTAGCACCTATTAATGCCATAGTTTGATGATCAGAGGGAGCTAGTATGGTTCTGAAAGCAGTAATACTATGCTTTCCTTATCTGCAGCAGGTTAATTTTGTGCCTGGGCTATGCTCTTTTTCATGCTGGCTCAAGACTGTGTGCATCCTTGTAGCAAATGGGATCAGAGAATTAATCTGGGATAAAACTTAACATATTATAAAGGACTTTTCTTCCATCCAGGTTGGTTCCCTGATCCCTGTTAACACTGAGATGCCAGGTCAAGGAGGAAGGTGTTGGTGGGTTGAGAGGTTAGACAGACATTTCAGTGCTGGTTTATTCTGACTTAAACTGTTTGCAAAACTGCAACATAAAAAAATTCTCAATTTGTTAAACTTGCAGTTGGGATCCTCCTTTTTCTTTTCATCAGCGACATTTTGTCATTCTTCTCACTAACAAACCCAGACCTTGTCTTACATAGGTTAGATAGTGTGGACTCTTGAGGGTTTGGGGGTTGGGGAGGTGGGTGAGTATTTTCTGTTGTTTTTTAGGGTTGGAAGAAAAACGGCTCTAACATTTCCTCAATGTTAAGCAGCAGAATAACAGTCTTTTAGAATCTGAACCAAAGTCTGGTGAGGTCACTGCTAAAGGTTTCTGTTGACTTCCTGGCCTTTGGATCTAACTTTTCACCCTGTTCTCTCCATCCCTTCCTCCTGCAAAACAATGTTTGAGGAATAAAACTTCAGTATTTGTGCAGTGGTTGAAATATCTAAAAATATGGAAAGTACTAATTATTATTTACATTTTATGCTTGTTTTCAAAATTACGCCCTCTAAATTCATTCTTCTCAGGTTATTTAAACAAAAAGTAATTATATTAAATAATAGACCAAGAGGAGAACATGTTGTGATCTTGTGCATTGTGGCAGCAACATAAATCCCATTCCTAATAGAGCTAGCTGTTTATAATTATCTGGTTTATGTGTACTGCTGCAGGATGGCTGCACTCAACGAGTATATGCAATGACTTTCTTGGATGTTTCTGAAGGATATTTGCAAAGAAGGAAGATGTGCAAAGAGTAGGCCCCTTGCACTATGTGTGGTACATTCCACTTGTGCCAGATTGTTAACTGGGATCTTTAAATGTTCTGAGCTTACACTGCAAAGTGGTTTTTTCCTCTCAGAGTCTGGAAAGAGCAGTGAAAGAAAAGGCGGTCGATCTCGTTCCCATTCTCGTTCAGAATCCAGGTCTAGCTCAAAATCCCGATCTAGAAGGAAAAGATCACACTCAAAACACAGGTAGGTATGGTTTTTATTTTGGACTAAGATCATACTGGGGTTTTTTTGACTGGTGATGGTTACTGAGATTTCTTACTGAGTTCCAAGACGAGTATCCCTGTAGAGAAGATTACTAACTTACACTGAGCAGATCAGAGTAACCAGGAATTTCGTCTCTGAACTGGTACTCTTTCCCTCTAAATGCTAAATGTTTTCAGGATTACTTTCAGTTACAACACACTAGAGGGCATGTTTTGTGCCATGTAGCATAACCATTTCTGTGGTTTCATGGTACATTTTGTGCCATGTAGCATTATATAATTTTGTGACCCTTATTTTAAAAAGAAATAATTACTTGTGTTTTGTGGATCAAACATGTAGTTTACTGTTAAGACCCTGAGCAGATAGGCTGGTTGGTTTTACTAGTAGAAAGTTCCTGATGTCCTGAACTTCTAAACATCGAGTTAACACATGCAGTATTTTTATTTACTGTACTGTAGATGTAAAGGTATGGGTTTTAAAAGCAGAAGAAAAAGGCTTTAGGGGCAGTTTTTCATTTTTCAGATTTTGTTTGGTTTGCTAAATTTGTTCGGTCCTGAAACAGGTTTTGGAATGTGGGAGGAAATAAAATTGCTAGATCACCTTTAAAGAATACCCATTACGGTTTTTCCAAGAGTGAGGCAGTCTTGCTCTGTGAGACGTACAAACGCCTCCTGAAATGGTTCAGATTCTTTCAATGTCAGGAATGTCTTTTGAACATTTACGTAATCAATCTAAAGATATTTGGCTACATTAAGTAACAACAACAACAAGACATTTAGAATGTATTTGACCTTTAAAAAGCTGAGTGTTGTCAGTGTTGCAGCAACAGCTCTGTTGTATCCTTTCATGCATCATCTTTTAAGAAGGTAACTTAAATTCATTTAGATACAGAAAAGATTGCCAGAGGGAGTTATCATCAATTATACTACCAAACAAATACAATATAAGTGCAGGCTTCAGTTTTGCAATAGTGAGACACCACAGGACATGTTGTCTAATGACATCAAAATACTAGGTACCTTTTTAATGCAAGAATAATAATTTGGTCACTTCCTTATTGCTTGCTTCTCTGCTGTTTCCCTAACTCAGGATGTAACTGCAAAACAGTCTTTGTCTTCTATAACACTGCAGTAATGTCAGTAATATTTTGTATTGACACAAACCAAATTGATTTTTAGAAGTTAAACATACATTTTTTTACTTATGGAAAACCTGTGCTTTAAACTGTTCATAGTTTTATATATATATATATATAAATAAGTTTCTAAATTATTTACTACTGCTACTGTTTTGAGAACATGCTGAAAAAAGGCCAGTCTGATCTGTTGGGGCAACTTCATCCCTAAGAATAAACTATCCTTTCCACTTCCTTGTTTTACTGTTTTATAAAACACTTAAATTGTTTTCATCTCTATGATACAAAACTTATTCAAGGTCTTATTTTGACTCAATTTTTATTAATTTGCCCTGTTAGTTTGTATTTCTGCACTGATAAGCAGAGCAAAGCTGTAGGTAAAAAATGGTTGCCTCTCCTCTTGGTATATATTACTCTGTGTGTCTTGAGCTGCAGAAGACAGGTGGAGCTGGTATTTTTTGTACCTCCCTGTTCTTCAGGATTTATTGAATAATATACATGGCCTTTCTGTCTTTGGTAAGTTAAACTGCATGGTACCTTAACCTCTCAGGCAAAGTATCCAATGATGTGGTTTTTTGAAACTTAATGTTCAAATTCAGCTTTTTATTTTTGCTTTCCTAGGGAGTGTGATCGTTGAAAAATAGGGAATATTTTGGAAAAAAAGAATATAATAATATTTAAAAGTCTTATTTTCTTGATCAAATCTGCGACTATACTATATATGTTTATTGGAAGACTTTAATTGGATTTTTATTAGAATATCTGCAAATTATTTGCATATCATATAGTAAATGCTCATTCCTTTCCTTGAGAATTGTTACAGTTGAAATCCATGCTAACAAATCCTTTCAACTGAAAGGCTAGCTTGGCTAAATGCTGAACCACAGACAGTGGGTTTTTTTTTTTTGCTTTGGTTGGGTTTTTTTAAAGTTCATTTAAATTGTATGGCTGAAGAAAAATGCAAAAAGAGACCGGTTAAAGCCGTCTTTCTTCAGTGATCAAGACTGCAATAACTGACTGGGCCTGGGAAAAAACAAAATGTAACTATTTTTACAAGCTGCTAGAAATGTGTCTATTTTATGCACTGTAATTTACTAAGGACAGCTATCCTAATATGATATGAATTTATATATTCCAGAATGTTCATGGAGGTTATTGTGAAACATGGGTATTACTTAAATGGTGCATTGTTTCAAAGGAGGACATGTGGACCCTGTGAAGCATAAAGTATCTGTATTTGCAAGAATGTTGGTAGGCAGTATATTACTGAGGTGTAACTTGTTACTTGATTTTATGTAGTGAGGCAAGATTTATGGGTTTTTTTCCTTTGTTGGTTGACCTAATTTTTATGAAGTTTCAATATTAAAGTATTTTTCTTCTGGCATTGTTTGTATAGAAGTAGATCTGGCAACAGATCACTCTCAAGACACAAGGACAGACGCAGATCCAGAAGTCCCCTGAAAAAACGGTCTAGGTCCAGGGAGAGGCGGAAATCAAGAAGTCGCTCACGTTCTCGGTGAGTTCCATTCCTAAGAAATTATACTGTTCTTCTTAGCACACAGTACAGAGTTTTTGAAAAAAATCTAACAGACCTTTTAGGTGATGGTAAAGGCTGGAATCTCTAAATGCTTTAGCCTGTCCTTAGCCTTTGTCTGTGGGACAAAAGAATAGAAAGTAAATTTAAATGCCGAGTGTACTGGTTTGGGCTGGGATAGAGTTAATTTTCTTCACAGTAGCTCATATGGTACCTATGGGGGTTAAACCACCACACTGAGGTACCTAAACTTTGATAGTCTGGTCTACATTTATACCAATGTGCAAGATGACCAAAAATAGGTACCTTTAATTGCCAGACTTTAACCAATAGATTAGGAATCTTCTGTGTAGCCTGTGCAACCCACAAAAAAGTGAATGATGCTTGTTTGATCTATACCAGTTGAGAAGGCTGAACTTGGTCCCACATTCGGAGAACATATATAAAGTTTTTGTGCATGAGCTTTTATTTTTGCCTTTGGCTATCTCATATCAGCCATATGCTGCTGTGGGTACAAACCTATGTGTCTGTTATATGGCGTATTTGCATTTCAGGATCTAATGCATTTATATTTTACCTAGTCTATTAATCTTTAAGTCTGATCATCTAATTATAGAACTGTGAAATTCCAGCAAGATAATAGCATAATTTTCTGAGGGATGAAGTAGTGAATAATCACAAAACAAAAGTGCCTATGAATGTAGCTTCATGAGTAGAAGTCTTGGTACTTTTCTTTCTGTTTCATCTCTGTAATTCCCCTGATTCATTTAAAGGGAGGTTCATACTTAGGTTGTGCAGTTGCCTCTTGTTTTTTGAGGAAAGAAGTTGTATGGGAAAGAGAACTGCAGATCTGTGGACCTCAGTGGAAACAGGAATAGGCTACATATCTAGCTGGGCTTTATTGATGAATCTTTTTGATTCTCGGTTGCTGTTGTCTGGACCTTCTTGAGATATCTGGAAGGGGCAAGTCAATGAAATCTCTGTGATAAATTAACTGGAAGGCACTTCTTGGGTCATTGTGAGACTCTGCTATTGCAGGGATTGCATGCTGTTTTCATCTTTATGGTCTTACATTCCTTCTCTGAGCGTTCTAAAGAAGTATTTGTCAAAACCCGATGGGAACCAAAATTGTCAGGTCACAGAGCATACCACAGTCTACTATTTATTAGCAGTTGAGAAGATACAGCCAAATGCTTCTGTTGAAGGAAGGTGGGGGCTGTGCTTAGGACCTTTCATGTGTGAAGGAGTCTCTCTGAGAATCTTGAAAAATCCTAGAATAGGTACCAATACCAATAGACACAGCAACTTCTGTAAGTCTGGTTCTCTTGGACATATAAAAGCCTACTAATCAACTTCTCTTGTGCTTTCTCCTGTTCCTCTCTCTGCACAATTGTTCATTTTCATGTCCTAGAGGCAGGTCTAGGACTCACTTGTCTCTCTGCTAGAAAGGAGAGCCAGAGGCTCGCACTTCCAAATAGTATTGTACCAAATGTAATCTTCCAGCCAAAGCTGTGATCTAATCAATTTTTGTTTGGCTTGGCGACTAGAACATCAGTTGGAATTTTCCTCACTGTTCTTCTTTTTATGAACATGTATCATTCTGCGTGTCCCAAAGACGTTGACTTGTTCTGTTATCCTTGCTTCTGTCTTTAGTGTATTAAAAATTTTTCAGTAATTTTCAAGTTCCTAATGACATTACAGGTGATTGAATTGTCTTTATTGAGTTTAGACAGAATTTGTTTGGTGAAATTTTATCCTTGTTTTTTTTTATTTCTGTGTATTGATTGTTGTTTTTCCAAGCAGTTCCAGGATATCTGTGTGAGAGAACACTGTAGAATAAAGACTAGGTTATTCTGCAGTCCATTTTATGTGGACACACTTTTAGTAAAGAGTGGATTTGCAGATTCTAGAGTTCATCTCCTGACAAAATGTAGAAACTAATTTATGTATGTATAATAACGTAACTGTGAGGTGAAGAGACATATTCTTTCAAAGTGTAATAACATCACCCTGAAGATCGCAGTTTGATTTGATTTTGGCCTCCCTTTCTGCAGTTTGGTTTCCAAATTTTTCCTGGCTATGTAACCTTTCCCTCATGGTGAACAGAATTAAAATACTGAATAATTACTATTTTTCAACACAGACGGATACTTTATCTTGAGCAATTTATGTATGCTAAAGAGTTAGTTGTAATTTTAATTGGAAAGTTCAATGGTGAACTAATGGATTTGTGTTTGGCTTTTCACAGGGACAAGAAAAGAGACAAAGAAAAGGTCAAGGAAAAAGAAAAGGCCAAAGAAAAGGAGAAAGAGAGAGACCGAGACAAGGAGAAGGAGAGAGACAGAGACAAAGACAGGGAAAGAGAGCGAGATAAAGAGAGAAACAGGGAGAAGGACAGGGAGAGAGATAAAGAGCGAAACAAAGATCGAGACAGAGTCAGAGACAAAGACAGGGATAGGGACAGGGACAAGGATAAGGACAAAGATAGGGACAGGGACAAGGACAGGGAAAAGGAGAAAGATAAGGAGAAGGAAAAAGACAGAGAAGAGGTAGATGAGAACAAAGAAAAAGAAGAGATTGAGAAAGAAGGAGAGAAGGACAGAGAGAAGATTAAGGACAAGGAGGGAGATAAGGACAAAGGAGGGGACAAAGAGAAGGACAGAGACAAAGAAAAGGAAAAAGATGGAGATAAGGAAAAGGAGCGAGAAAAAGAGAGAGATGATAAAAAGAAGAAAGATAAGAGATCCAGAACACCCCCAAGAAGCTATAGCTCTTCAAGAAGATCTCGTAGCTCCAGCAGGTTTGTTTAGAATTTTTTCATGCGTTTTTTGACTTGTCAGTTCAGTGAGGCACCATCCTAGTTTTTATGTATCAATATCAGCATGTCTCTTACTAATAAAATTTGTATTATTTCTGTTTTGTAGATTTTCCTATAAAGTAAAATCTATTACAAAGAGCTCTTTATGATGCCTGATAGAACGTAGTTTCTTTTTGGGCTGCTGGTGCTTGCCTTTCACATAACCGTATAGCATAGTCCTTGAGGACAGTAAGGAGATGATTCTTGTGCCATTTCTCTGCGTTGGAGCCATCCAAAAGTTCTGATAAAGTGACATCACACATCATCTTTCTCCTGATGAAAGTCTGATTCACTATTACATAGTTCCTTGGTTACTTACATACTGTACAGTGTTTGTCTGTAGATCTTATGAATAGTTGGGTGATAGTACTTGCCACTCTTCAGCTGGATGGCTGAACAACAGGAATCAAGCATATCACTTGGCTGGCTAGCCATTTGGAGTGTGAATGTATCTCAGTTGGAAGATAAGGATACCTTGTTTAGCTGGTTAGATGGCCAGGTACAAGTAAAAAGTAACATTCCTTAATGATGCTGATAGTAAACAGGAAAACATTCAAGTTAATGTAGCTGTTGTTTTTGCCTCTGGGAGCTGCTAAACTGGGTGGAAGTCTGGATAAATTCAGTACAGCAAAAGGAGACTGTGAGATCTATTATAAGCTCTGTAAGTGGACTAACTCAAGCATGTTCTAAAAGCATTGCGGCTAACAAGTTCAGAAGCTTTGGTGGAAACAGTGCTTTCTGAATACCTCAGGAACTGGGGAGTTCAGTAATATCACATGTCAAATTCAGATACCAAATTTTATCTGTTACCTTGAGAGAAAGAAATGCTGGATTAATTGGAAAAAGTTCTACGTATTATAATCATTTCACTGGACAAAAGCAAAATTCCCATGGTCCTCAAAATTCAGGAGTTCATAGTTCATATAAGGCAGAAAAGCGTGTAATGGTTTCTGAAAATTCTGTTTGCGTTATATGTAATGTCCATGTTGTTTTGGTGGTTTATGGGCAAAATACTGTGGCTTCTTTAAGCGTATGCAGCTTCCTATTTTAGTGCATGTTTAACATTATTTCGTGGGTTAAAGAACTACGCAGAGCAGAGGTAGCTCTGCCAGCTTTGAAAATGTAACATTTTCTGTCTGTAGGCCTCAGGAGTGTTGAACTAAGTAAGTGTAGAAAAAAGATTTTGACAAATGTGTAGCTTATATAAGAACCTTGGTGGAAGATCCAGTTCCTAATGTCAGATAGCAAGTGTAGTTAGCTGGATGTTACCAAAAATTCATACTCTAGTTTGCAACAGTTATGCTCCCCTTTAAGAATCTTGCTATTGAAGAAAGGCTATGGAAGGCTCAAATGCCATGTACTTGGGCAAAGAATTCTAGTGAACATCAGTGTGCATCTTTTCTAGTGGGCTCACAGTACAAAACCCTACTTAATATGAAGTTAGGTTTTTTTATACATGCTACTAAACAAGGACAATGTTCTTTTGAAGATGGAGGATGAGAGAAATACACTTTTTTATATGGATTTACAATTCTTTTTTCAGATATAGCATTATCCTTAGAGTATCAATACTGGGGCCAATATTGTTGAACATTTTCATCATTGGCCTAGACAGTGGGACAGAGTGCACCCTTGGCAAGTTTGCAGACAATGCAGAGCTGGGGGAGAGGCTGGGGCACCAGAGGAGTGTGCTGCCATTCAGAGAAACGTCAACAGACAGGAAAAATGGGCTGACGGGCATCTCATGGATTTGAACAAAGAGAAAGGCCAAGTCCTGTACCCAAGCAGGAATAACTCCATTGCACCAGTACAGCATGAGGGCTGACTGGCTGGAAGGCTGGCTGGCAGAAGAGGCCCTGGGGGTCCTTCCAGCAAAGGCCAGTGGTATGCTGAGTTGCATTAGGCAGAGTGTTGTGAGCACGTCAAGGAAGGTGATTTTTTTCCCCTTCCTCAGCACTGGTGAGGCCACATCTGGAATCCTGTGTCCAGTAGCAGGCTCCCCATTACAAGAGACACACAGATATACTGGTGTGAGTCCAGTGAAGGGCCACAAAACTGATAAAGGGCTTGGAGCATCCTCCATACAAGGAGAGACTAAGGGAGCTGGGATTGTTTAGCCTGGAGAAGAGAAGGCTGAGTGGGCATGTTATCAATGCGTATGAATACCTGATGGGAGAGTGTGAAGAAGACAGAACCAGACTTCTCAGTGGGGGCCAGTGACAGGCTAAGAGGCAGTAGGCACCTACTGACATATGGGAAATAAAGGCTTTTTTCTTACGTTTAAATTGTGTTTTTTTCTGGGCAAACTGGAACCAGTTACCCTGAGAGATTGTGGAGTCTCCATTCATGGAGGTTTTAAAAATCTGTCTGGATGTGGGCCTGAGTAACCTGCTCTAGTTTGACCCTGTTTTAAGGTGGGGGAGGGAGAGATTGAACTAGGTGGTCTGCAGAGAGCTCTTCCAACCTCAGTAATTCTGTTATTCTCTGAAAAGTAATTGTGAATGGGTTGGGCTACAGAGTCCCAGTTAGCTTGCATTTAGGGATATCTGTTTACTTTGGTAATTGACATTGCCTAGTTGAAATGGTTACAAACCCTTCTGGAGAAGATAATCCAACAAACTGGCATTTTCAGCTGCCTGGATTTACAGTGCAGCGCTGAGTTGGGACTGCTGATCCTTCACCTGACGAGTGTAAAATATTGGACAAATCATCATCTTTCTGGAGAATAGGGGAAGGTGGAAGGACCTTCTAAGAACTAGGTGGCAACTGACCTCGCTTTACTGACAGCATACAAGTACTAGAAATCAGATGGCTATTTGCGATTCCTAGCTGAAGGAAGAGACAGAGACTAGAGGGAGAAGAGGATCTGGCTCCTTTTCCAACAGACATCTACAGGCTAGCAGAGGGGATAGGCACAGAATGTTACTTCTGTGTTATGATTAAGAGACACAGGATGACTATCAAAGTATTCAGACTTGTTTTTTCTTAAATTTTGCTGTATTAGTATTGCTTAAGAGTGTTAAAAGAACAGGTGCACAAAAATCTTTATCTAGAAAAATGTAATAAAGATGGGAACAAATACTGTCAGACACAGTTGTAGCTCTTCAACTTGCAATAAGAAAAGCAGAAAACAAAATCATTAAGAAATTTTTTTTCTGTGCAGCTTCAGAAGGTTGTGGTAAATGATATTGTCGGAGTATCAATCTAGATAGTGATACTAAGCATATCTTAAAATACCCTTTTGTAATTTTTCTAATAACTGTTCATTTCTTGGCATTTCTAAATATTGAAGATAAATATTCACACCTAATGGTGTGAATTGCAAAAGCAGGTACACATAATTGTAGCTTTTGTGCCATATCTTGAAGTGCCCTCTCAATTACTTTTTAACTTCCCTCTTTTCATTTGATGGTTCTTCCTGACCGCTTTTCCCGCTCTATGAAGAGGTGATAGGAAAAAATAATCTTTCTTTGACAGAGATGGGTTCTACGTTTATGTTGAATGAAGGTTTACTGGCTCAGTTTTTGCTTTATTTTAACATGTGCCTCAGCATGTTTGCAGCCAGTTGTTTAATGTTTTGTTCTATGCAAGATGAAGACTCCATAATAGCAACGTCAGCAAATCTCATATATCTGTGTAAAACAGCTGTTTTGTAAAATACTACGAGCTCTTCAGTGTGTTACAGAATGATAACGTTCTGTCTGCTGAGCAAGGACTGCTAGGAAAACAATAGATATTAACTTATTTATTCTGATTTTGACAACAGCTTGAGCTTCATTTTGCACTGCTTCTAAACCAATAGGACTGCTAGCATATGTATTTAGGAATTAAAATTCAGTCAGGCTGAACTGAAATTACAGTGATCTTCAGGTTGTAATGTTACATTTTGAAGTTAATATTGCTCAAGTTATGCCTTTTGTCTTAAAGTGGCTATTCATTCAGTTGGGTTCTTTTCCTGACTGAAGAAACTCTTAATACAGGATTAGTGAATTCAGTGTGTTTCCATTGTTATCAGGTATAAATACAAGCAAGTGAGGATAAAAAAAACCCTAAAATCTGAAAGGGCACAATCTTTTTTTTCCCGCTTCCAGCCTCCCCTTTCCCATCAAACTGAAACATATGAACGGGTTTTTTTGCTTTGTACAGTTCATATATTGGTGGTGGTATATATTGTTAAATTCAGGGATATTTACTTAGTTGTGGTGTCCAATCATTTTAAGAGCTTTCTGTTTTTATCTGGTTCCTGAGTTTATTATTTTTATTCTTTGATAATCTTTAATTTCTTGGTCCTGTAGAGAAAGGCGTAAAAGGAAGAGTAGAAGTTCCTCCAAGTCTCCTAAAACATCCAAAACAACAAAAAGAAAGTCTTCACGAACTCCTTCTCCAAGAAGGTCAGTTTGATATCAACATAAAAGTTACTGAGCAGTTAAAGAGGAAGAACTTATAGTATTTGCATTGTTTTACTGCCTTTGCACTAATCATCTCAGATGATTTCAGTTGATCAGTATGATTCAGTTTTAATTTAAAACAAAACCAAATCAAAACAAAAACCTTCACAGATTTGAGCTTTGGTATGCTTTCAACTAGAGAGTTTCAAATCTGTCAACAGTGCAAATTTGCTTCAAATCAATAAAAGCCCTTTATCGCATACAGATTAATTTTTCTCTTTGCAAATACCATGTGTAATGAACATACGTATTCTTTAGCTCTCTTCAGTCAAAAAATCCCCTTGTCTTTATGAAGGGGTTTTGTTATGTTTGGGTTTTTTTTTTTTTTGAAAACCCACAGATGAGAGTTTAGTTTGCAGTTAAATGGTTTGAAGCTTGTTGCTGTTGGATCAAATTCTGATTTGACTAAATACTTTCTTAAACAGAAACAAGAAAGAAAAAAAAAGAGAAAGAGATACAAATAATGAAAGAAGAGAAAGAGAACGCTCCACCTCCAAGAAAAAAAGTAGTAAAGAAAAAGAGGGAAAGGAGAAATCTGACAAAAGCACCACTGCTTTGAAGGTAAGCTGTGTGACCAAGTGATAAGCAGAGTTAAGTGGTGCTAGTGGAGCCGTTATTGAAATTCCTTCCCTTCTTTTTCTTTCTTTTCCTCCTCCCTTCTTTTTCTCCTGTTTTCTTAACAAATTATTACCATTTGGGTCTAGCTTTTACCAGCTGGAGACCTACAGTTGGTGTTAGTGGGCCAGTTGGATAAGTCTGCGCGTTTGAACTTTACTGGACTTGTAGTAGCTTGTGTGAATAGGTTACAGAAACACTTTGTTTTGGTTTCTCTTTCCTGTTCTGTGCCATATGTTAGGACTTGGCTGGCTGCTTATTTGTATGAGCAGGCAGAAAGCAGACTGTGTAACTATGGAGCAGCATTCAGGGACAGCTTGGCTGTCAAGCTGAAAAGATTACTTTTTTAATAAACTTTCACTCTGCAGTTCAGCCTCTCCCTGGTTGCTTTAGCCCTGGTCTGCGTGCTGGACTCTGTAGTAGTAAAGTTGAAGAGTTGGGGAAGAGTAGTATGGGATTTTGACCTGCAAAATAGAAGGTGGCATGAATAAGAAAAGAAACATCTTCAAATTGTTTAATCTTAGAATTTGAAAAGCAGCATGCCTTTAAAGAGCAGTTTGTTGTACTCAAAATTATTCAGCTGTTATAAAACAGCTGGTTTAGGTGGCTCTGTCCATGTGCTTAAGTATTATATTACCCAAGAATTCTCTTAAAATGCGTCAGATACCTGACAAAAAATATGAAAGAAGAAATGTAATTCTATTTTATTTATAAAATACGGTGAAATCTTAATTTCTGGAGCTGTTTCTCATAGGTGCCATGATGCTGCTTGTTCTGTTTTTCTGGATATTGATGATAAAGACAGATCACTTTATGGCAATAATTTCTTGGATGATGGGTTGTTAGGAATGCCTAGCTTCAGCCAATTGAAAAGAAAATTTAAAAAAAAAAAGAAAAGAAGCTGACACCTCAATTCTAAAAATTTTTGAGACAAGACAGGCATGTAAAAATTGAGACAATAAAAATATTGGAGTCAATAAAAGTATTGGAAGTCATATGCTGTAATGCTAAGAATATGATTTTTTTGTAAAATAATTTTATCTTTGGTAGGACAAAGATCACACTAAAGAGGATCAGAATTCAGAAATTGACAAGGAAGTAGACAACAGAGATACACAAAGGACAGATGAAGTCAAACTACAGCACAATGGGAACTGTCAACCAAATGAAGAAAATCTCTCAATTAAAATGGAAGAGGTTTAATGCAAAGACTGGACCTCTGATTCAACTAAGGAATGAAATCCAAAGCTTTTTATTTCCCAGAATGAGGAAGAAAATGTCAAAGCAATCAACCTGAACGTGTTGATAGTACTAGTAGCTCTTCCAGTTCTTGTGATAGCTTTGTTGTCTTCTTGCTGTAAAGCAAGAGAGCACGGACCAGTAGTTATACCATGAAAAGGCAGATGCCATCAGAACTATTCATCTTTGAAAATCCATGCATTTCCATCATGGCTGTACTTATTTGTAAAATGATTTATGTTGAGTTTTACCATAAGCTGTTACAAATAAGTAGAAACTGAAAGATGTAAACCTGTACTACCCCAAAAAGGCTGAAGATATGCATTGAAGGTTGTTTAAAATACTGCTTGTTGATGAATTTTGTATTGGTTTACTTCGTGGGTTAAAAAATCCACAAAAACTTCCATGTGTACTGTTTGATGTGCTTGGAAATGGTGCATAAATATACACACTTTCTTTTGTTGTAAATGACAACTGTAGGGAAGGGGTTTTTAAACATAAACACAGTTTGACGGTTTTTGTGTTAAATACCCACTGACTAGTATATTTTTTATTTGCTCACTGCTTGAGATTCTTGGGGTTTATTATTTAAAAGGATTTCTTACTAATATCCCTAAAATTAATATTTCTTTTAAAGTATTTGAACAGTGCATGCTACTTTCTTGTTCCTAAAAGGGACATTGCCATGTTATAGATAATAGGTTAGCTTACTGCGTTATTTTGGGGTTGTTTTGTTGTTTTCTTTTGTCCTTCCAGAATTGAGCACATCTCTATGATGTTATCAGAACTTACAGCTTTGTTTTCAGCTGTACTGCAGTGTGTCTGTTCAGCTGCAAATAGTACAGGTGCCATTATGAAAATAAACTTTTATTTGTTTAAAAAAACATGGGAGCACAAGCAGAAGCTTTAGTGCCTTCTTAAAATGTGGTATTTTCTAGAAATGTGTATGTGCTATTACTCATTTTCAGCTAGATCTTACATGATCTCTATTGCTATTTTGCCACCACCATACTGTAGACAAGAATGCAAGTGGTTTGTCAGAATGGTTGTTTGATTCACTTGTTAAAATACTAAAGCTCCATTTTTACTTTAATTTTTTAATTTTAGAAGAGATTTATAGATGAAAGCAAGGATGCAATTTGGGGACCACCACTGTACAAAAGTAGTAGCAGAATACAAAGCATTTTCTGATCACCTGCATCAAAGACAGCCCTTTAGATATTTTATCTACATTTGGATGGCCTTAATTGTTACCTCTCCATCATCTTCTCTGATACCTGTTGGGTGATATAAAAGGAATTGTATGCAAAGAAGAGGGGATAAAAAGTTCTAATTTACACAGGAGTTATATGGTAGAGGTTTTTTTTCATTCTTTGGGGAGAAAACATGTAAGAAGAGAATGACAAAGCAAGTATTTTTGTCAAGGTAAAACATGGCTTGTGTTTTCCGAACTAATTTAATCAGTTACATGAGATTTCTTAAAGAGTCATACCTTTAAAACTTACTTATACCTAAAATCGAGTAGAGTATTTTTAATACAACTTAATACAATCAAATGACTTAATTGCCTTACCTCATGGGAAGTTATTTCTTTCAGTTAAAATAAAAAACTTCATAGCATACTAACTATTTGCTTTCAATTTGTTTTTCTTTTCCTTTGCATAGTTAATTCTCAAAAAAAAGCATATTACAGGGGATGAAAAATTTGCCCAGTTTCTAAGGTAATGAAACCCAATTTGATTGTGAAGCTGCTTAATCACTCTTCATTTTCGATAGAATTTAATGTTCTTGCCACTGTGTACATTTAAGACTATAGAAAATGCTTTACCATGTAAAGTATAGACAGTCATTTTTGTGATGTTTAAGCCACATGCTGTTGGCTGGTAAACAGCTTATTCTGATAAAGGAGTGACAAATCTGTATGCTTACAGAAGACTGTGAAGGATTGTGTCTTGCAACAACAGCTGTCTTATTTATGATGTGTAAGTAGCATAGAACAAAGCGATTGTTTGTATACTTGCTATCTTTGGTACCATTTCACTAATAAAATTAAGTATTTTAGAGGGACATTTCTGCTGGTACATACTTACTGAAGGAATATTTTTAGTTATCTGGTCTTATTCACAAAGCTCCTTTGATTTGAAATGTGGATACCAGTGAAAATATACATGTATTATTTATAGTATCTTTGAAAAACTAGTTTCTCCTTTGGGAGGAATTAGAATTCTTGCCAGTGTATCATGTTTCAGCTGGTACTAGTTTAATTTCTTGAGTTTTGTTATCCTGAAATTGCGTAGCTCTATTAGATATCAGTTACAGAATATGTAAAGGATTGCGTACAGTTAGCTAAGAAACATGCCTTTGGAAATTAATAGTTAAGGGTGGCAGCCTTACTAGCTAACTTACGACATGTGTAAGTCCATATGCAGCACACTGTTACATTGTATGTGAGCTATAAAGATTTCCTTACAAAAAGGTTTTTTCCTAAAAAAAGGTAAAAAAAACCCCAAAAAACCAATCACCAAACACACAAACACACCTCAACTCATATTCTCTGACAAATGCTGTATTTTCTGGTTTTGCTTTGTAAATACTGTGCAGATCTGTGAGGTAGTTAAGTTCTGTCTATATGTGTTAGGTGTTTTACAGTTCCTCCCTTCCTAAAAAACTACTACTAGGGAGCTATTATTCTGTAAAATGGCTATCTCTGCAGAGTAGCTCATTTTTAAGCCGGTAGTGTAGCACAGTAATGAAGTTCCTGCTTGGTCCAACAGGATTGTGTGCATCATCCATTAAATGTGTCCATCTTCCACTGGAAGTTCATTGCCTTCATCGTTAACAAGTTTGCATGCTGAGCTGCTGTGTAAGATTGGTTGGTTTTGCACTTTATAAATGAGATTAAATTGAGTGGAGGTTTTGAGAACAGTGTAGTTCATGATAGCTGTATTGTTTTAAATGTAACTTCATTTGAGTCAGCCTTTATTTGAAAATGTTGTGACTTGTAATTGCTCAGAAAAGTGATGATATGGTGCCGTTTTGCTAAGGCCATGTAAAGCACTTATGCATAAGCTTCCGTTAGTGACCACAGTTACTCCACAGCAGTATTTCTGGATAATAGATAGGGTTTTTCTTTGGATTTTGAAAGAAGGTAGCCGAAGACAGCTGCTGGTGGATGAAACGGGATGCCAAGCTCAAAATGAAGGTGGCTGTGACTTAGATAAATTCATCAAAGTCAATAGGTTTACACAGGTGTGAGGGATGAAAGTTTGTTTGCAAACACTAATGGTAGTATTGTATGTAAAGAATAGCAGTTTTCTTATTTCAGAATTAGAACTAAGAGGGGAAAAAAGCACTTCAGTTGGAAACTACAAACATCTGAAGGATACCTGAGAAATCGGTGAGATGTGGGTTCTGCCTACTCATTAGTCACCTGCTATTTTTTTTAATGGCAATTTCAGATAGATATATGTGAACTAGCTTTACATTAGCTGGCTAACAGCAGCAACCTATATGCACAGCTTGGATTCTGAAATGAGCTGTGGCCAGTTGAGTGTGTTTACTCTGCTGCAAAGAAGGTAAATTCTGTAGTCTGTAGCATGCTTTCCATTGCTTGCTAGTGTTTTCTGGCCCAGTTACTTCTGAGGCAATACTTGAAATTACTTCTAAACTCTGCAAATCTGTTTGTTACATGGTAGCTTTTTTGTGTTGCCCTTAGCTTGTGCTTGTATTTTGTAATAGTTAAAAGATTAAGGGATTTCTGTGATTTTGTTTTGGTCTAAGGAAGAGATGATAAGTTAAGGCTGCTTTGTATGGTATGAATTATTGTATACTTCATACTTGTCCTTATTACTGTGTTATTTTTTTCATTCACATGTATGATGATTGCAAGCAGTGATGCGATAGTGATGTGTATATCTTCTACTTTTAGGTCTGACGCATCTGCATCACTGTCTTTTTGTTAGTTTGTAATGAAACAAGATTAGAGTTCATGTATTTTAATTTTACTAGCCATTCACTTAGAGAAAAAAAAAAACAGACAAAAATAATCCTGAATTTTGTAAATGTCAGTGTGAAAATTGCATTATAATGGTAAAACAAATAATGTTAAAGATATGAATTCTGGACAATGACTTGCGAACTGGGGCATATTATGGGTCCCACCTGCCACTTGGTGGTACTTTCAGTTTTATAGCAATCAATTATTGCCTTAGGTCTTATCATAATTTTAAAAGTGAGAATTGGACTTAGTGACAGAAGTGCTGAGATCTGTAATTCGCTAAAATAATGAAAATCTGTAGGTGCTTAGTTCAGAGAGATGTAGTTTTCTCACCAGAGACTGGAGTGTGGACAGTTGAAATCTGTAGATATCATTAAGTGTTATTACCTAAAGAGAATCTAAAACTTAATTTTGTTTGCTAATATGTAAACAGAAAAAAAGTTTTCAGCCTGTACCTTAGGTTTATTTTTATATGTTGAAAAGTTAATTAAAATAATATTGAAAACTAAAAGCATTGGACAAAAGGGATTTTTTTTTTTTATGTTAACAGAAATACACTTTAAATTGTGTTTAATTTTAAACTCTTAAAATATGTCTTTGCATGCCATGTTTATTTTTATTTCAAATTCAAGAATGCTTCATTTGTAGGTAAGTCCTGTTGCAGGATCTGAGCATGTTAGTATGGGGATTTCTTCTGTATTCTCTTCAATATAAAACAGCTTAATAAACTTGTCTGACCATATGTGGAGGCAGCTACTTTCCCCCTAGTTTGAGGAGACACAGCTCTAACACTTCGATTATGTATTGTTTAAGTAAATACTTCAGTTGAGAAGCTATCTACGAACTTCAGTTTTCACAATGTTTTCTGAAACTGAACTCTTACTATCCAAGAGGGCAAAAAATTTTTTTTTAAAAATTGTCGTGACAGCTTTATGATTTTTGAGCTTAATACAGGAGAACATGGACAGCAAAAATGGGGTTTTAGCTGTTTATGTATTTTCTTCTGGAAAGTTTCAGCTTACACTTTTTTTAATTCATTAACATTTTTAATGTTAATTTAGTGCCAAATTTGACGTAATACTAGAGATTTTTGGTGTAGAAAGTACGTTCTATACTAATCTTTTTAATCAAATTATTATTCTCCATTGAAGAGGTTACATGTGTTTGTTTTCACCTGAAAGACTTACTAGCAGTGGTAAAAGAATAATTTCATCTTCCTTTCACTCAGTCCTTGATGTCATTGATGAGCCTGCCAGTTAAGTAGTGTTCTTAGAAGTTGTTGCTCTACTCAATAAGATCTTTCTTAGTGCAAAGATTTAGAACTACTGCACTGATGAGTAAATCATGGGCCGCTTAGAAATTGCTACTTCATAAATACATAATTTTCATAGTAATTTAAAGAAATGAGTGATCTGCTCTGGAAACAAGAGAGTAATTTGATATGCACAGTTCACGTAGTCTTACCTGTAGATCCTTTCTGGTATTTTTCCCATTGATACAGGAGCTATGACTAATTTGTTATACACAGCACCTATCACAGTCTGGGTTCAGATACACCTGGGGAACATAAGCACTACAACAGCAAAAATATTATTTCCCTTCTCTAAATTCAGTATTTCTGGTAATAAAGTAGGTCTTCTAAGTTTAAACATACAACCAAACTCCGTGTTGGTAGAGTATATTTTTGCATTAATGAAACAACTGTGAAACGGTACAAGTAAAGAAATGTCAAATGCTGCTATTATGTTGTAGTTATTTTTGTAAATAAACAATGTCCCAAAGTTTTAATGGTGTCATAAACTGACTTCCACTAGATTTGGATGAGATACAGCAAATGACTGTGAAGCAATTCTCTCTATCCCCCCGCCGCCACCCTTCCCTCTCACTCCCTCTCTCTTTCTCTTCCCCCAGAGAGTCAAGTGCTTTGTAGCCAAGACTGTTGGACTGATACTGACAAGAATATTGCAGGAAAGCTGGTGGGGGGTTAAGTAATTGAATGTACCATCCCTGTTTAGTTAAAGAAGAGACTTCTGAATCCCCTGGCTGAGCAGGGGATTTTCTTCTCCAGAGAAAACTACCATAGTTCCACGAGGGAGAGCCTGTGACTTCTAAACAGTAAGTTAATAAATGTGGCTGTAGAGAAGTGTATGTCAAAATTCTTTTTCTTTTTTTTTTTTCTCTTTTAAAGTAGGATCATGAGTTCATGCAGAGCTGACATTTATTGTCATGGATATTTTCATGTTAAAACTCACTGCTTTCAGTGCTTAAGCTTCTCTGTTGCTTTGTATAATGTGTAAGAATCTAAATAAACAGCAGTGATTAAGGAGCAAAGGTTTGAGATGTGCTTCTCAACAGACTTTAACTAACTTGCTCAGTAGGGATCTTTAACTTTTGAGAGCAGTCACATCTGTTGTGAGACTTGCGGCTGTTTTAACTCCTCCTGGTCAGGTGATTTAGCGAACACATCTGGTCTGAATAACTGCATTTCACCTTACTGCTCCTCTGAATGTGAAAGGGAAAGAGACATCTGAGAAATATTTTGAGATGTCTTAGCAATGGTTCAAAATCATGTATTACCTATTTATATAGTATACTACCTAATTTCCTTAAGTAATTACTCACTAAAAAGAAATTGTTTTTAGAGGAGTTTATTGAAAATTGACTAAAAAAGTGACGGTCTTTTAAAATCAAACTTTTTTGTGTGTACATGGCTTGTTTTGCCTACTTGTTTTAAGAAAACAGGCAAACATAAGTTAGTACTAGTCTTTTGTTAAGTGTGCTGCTTTAGTATCAGACCTGGGGAAGACTCTGTTTCTGTTTTTCTCTCTGCAAGTCTTACATTTCTTTTTAAAGATAGAGCTTAAAGAAAACCTTTAATTTTTACTGAAGTAATATTTTAAAGGGTTGATTCAGATTACTGGATTTAGAATTTCAAAGCAGATGCGTTGGTCCACATGAAATGTGAACATTAAACAAATGTATAATCATTATCTTCATCGGATTTGTCTTCCTGTGGTGAGGTAACATTTTCCACAGTTGCTCCTCTGCTTTGTTCAGTTTTGAGGGCATA